CTTTGGTGATGATGGACACGTGGCCTTAGGCATGAGTCAGGGTTTCCTAAATTCTCCCAAAATAAAATATTTAGGTGGTGACTCTATATTTGGCAAAGCAGTCCATGTTTGGCACTTCTTTCTAAAAATTAGTTTTTCAAAACGATTTGCTGGATTTGGACTCTTTGATGATTCATCGGTTTTGCATTGCACTCCGCGAGATTAGATACAGGACCGTGACATTGAGTCCAAACTGTAGTAAGCCCCAATAAACAAAATAGGATTCCCTCCCAGGACATTCAGGGACGTCCACAGTGACTAGTTGGATTCCATCTTTAAATCCATCCAATGGGTACTTAGCAATGTGGAATGGAATTATCTCGGTTGCTGAGCAGAGCAGTAGCTTGAAGGAGTTTTATTTGCATAACTTCAAATTGAAAGTAGGGGATAGGGTGAGGATTAGATTATGGTCAGATGCTTGGTGTCAATCTGTGTGTTTGAAAGATGAATTGCCAACTTTGTATAGGTTGTCTTTGGGAGAAAAAAAAAGGAGTGCTTGAGAGTCTTGGTTGATAAAAAAAACATAGCAGGGTCTTGGTCTTTTGACTTTAGAAGACAGCTATATGAATGGGAGGAGATGGAATTGGTTAGGCTCATTAACCTCCTGGTGGCAGCCCCTGATATATGTGATGAGTGTGAAGATCATCCAGTTTGGTCAGCTTCATCTCTTGGGGTCCTAAAAGTAGCAGATTTGTATAGTTTTGTTGTGGATAATGCTGGTGCCACCCTGAGAATTACTAAATTGCTGTGGCTCAAACATGTCCCTCCTAAGGTGCAGGTGTTTGGGTGGTTTGCTTGGAAAAGGAGAATCAAGACCAGGGAGTATTTACAAAAGCTGGGAGTGATCAGTCAAAATGAATCCACAGTCTGTGTGTTTTGTAACAGTGAAAGTGAATCAATGAACCATGTCTTAATCTGGTGCCCATTTGTGTGGAACATATGGACTGAAATGCTAAAGTGGTGGGATGTGCAGACTGCTCTGCCATGTTCTGTGGAGAGTCATCTCCTGTGGTGGGCTGGGGGAAAGTTAAAGAAGAAAGAAAGGTTGATTTGGGGGGCAATTCCATTGGCAGTGATGTGGTCAGTTTGGAGATGTAGGAATGAGTGTGTCTTTAGAGCAACTCCCCCAAATTTAGAGGACCTCTGTGAATTAATCAAGATAAGGATTGCTTTTTGGGTAAATCCATACCTCAGATATTTTCACTTTTCTGTGCAGGATTTTGGTACCAATCTGAGGCAAATTAGGAGGTGTTTGGGAGGGGTAGGTGGCATGTGCTGAACTGCTGTGGTGTGCCTTTGCTGGTGGGGCTGTTGTGTTTTGCTGTGTTTTTGTGGTCTGTTCCTGAATCTTTGTGCTGCTAAAGCTTTGCATCTGCGCAAAGGTGGTTTTGGTCTCAGGGGAGTGCTGTGTATTCTGGGTTTTGCTGTCCTCACCCTCGTTCAGTCTGCTTGATCTGGGGACTGATATGCAAATGTTATGTAGTTGGCTGTCTAGCTTTGTGCTGCCCATTCTTGAAGTGTGGAAATTGATCCAAGCCTCTCTATCTGTTGTATTCTCTGGGCTTCATTCCTTTTCTTCTTGGCCATGCAACACCAGTGGTTCTGCTCCTTATGTTTCATTTGTTGCCCAGATTTATTAGTAGGGTGGATTGATGATTCAAGCCCAGTTGTCGGTTTTTTGGTGGTTCTTTACTTGATTCCCCTTTGTTCCTGAACAGATTTTGGTGATGTTTTGTTCCATACAGATTTCTGTTTGTCTTCTGTTCGTTTTGTTGGTTTCTCACCAACTGGCGCTTGGAGCTTTAGTTAGCTCCAAGCTCCTCTTTAAGCTTTAGTTAGCTCCAAGCTCCTCTTTAAGCTTTAGTTAGCTCCAAGCTCCTCTTTAAGCTTTAGTTAGCTCCAAGCTCCTCTTTAAGCTTTAGTTAGCTCCAAGCTCCTCTTTAAGCTTTAGTTAGCTCCAAGCTCCTCTTTAAGCTTTAGTTAGCTCCAAGCTCCTCTTTAAGCTTTAGTTAGCTCCAAGCTCCTCTTTATTGATGTTCTGTAGCCTTTTTGCATACTTTCATCAATATAGATTTTTCTTTGCCGATCAAAAAAAAAAAGCGGACCGCCTTGAGATTTGAGTTTTTTTTCCATATTTTTTCTCTTTAGTAAATTTTTCATATTTTAATTAAATTTTTAAAACTTTTAGATGCACATATAGATAATCAACATATTGATAAAATATCTAAAATACTCAATGTTGGTATAGATAAAATATCTAAAATACTCAATTAGATTGAAAATAGGAAAATTATTTAGATTAAAAATAAATCAAAATATTAAGGTTTAAATTCATAAATTTAAAAATTTTGAATTTATTTTATTATAAGAGTCAAATCCTAGGATTTATTATGTAATCTAAGTAGAATTATGTTTCTTAATTGTAAAAATTATAATATCATATTAAATAAACGGCACTCGAGCCATAAATAAAATTTTAAATCTTTTGAGTCATTAGGTCCAAACTCTAATCTTTTTAGGTCAAAAGGACACAATTTGTTAAAAAAGAAAACTACCTATTAAAATCAACTTGTCTACCTATATCTTGAAATCAACCTATCTATTGAAATCAACATATCTACGTATCTATTAAAATTCACGAAGCTAACTATCTGTTAAAATATGACACATATTACTCATTCAATAACATATCTATTGAATATCACACATTTCTTTACACACCACCACCACCTACTGTTGCCAGTCGCCAGCGATTTTTTTGGCCAATTTTTCATCAACTTCTTTTTAGCACCGACAACTTTTTCCAACGCGTCCTTATCATCAAATAAGATTTTACCTTTTATACCCACTTTGGAATGAACTTTTGACCAATGTTCTCTTCTTTTTTTTTTTACCAATGTTCTCTTCATAGCACCATAAATCAGAATGAAAAAATGATCATCAAGTTCTATTTTGTTTTGAAAGATAATAATAGTCGCGTCTGAAATTTCAATATTAACAAATAAGTTTTGTTTTCTTTTTTATTTTATAAATTGCTATAAAAAAAAGGTCCAATTATTCATAATAGTATATGTTATGTTAAATTTATCGTTCACATTAAAATATGAATAAAAAATTTATAAGCAATTTGAATTTATTTAAAATTTTATATTAAAAATGTTTTTAATTGCTGAAATTAAATGAACAATTTATAAACAAATGCATAAGTATGAGATTCATCAACTATCTTACGCATTGTGAAACTCCCCATCGCCACTTGCAATGTTTTCCCTCCCAACGAATCTTACGTTCTCGCCTTTCCTTTGTGAACATTGTACAAGGGGCCGCTGGTCTAATTATCAACTTAATTTTCGGCGCAACTTCATTGAGAGATAAGCAACTAAACAGAAAGGTATATTGATACACTTGCAAAGACTGGGAAAAAATGGCCCGAGAAGGCAAACAGCATGGTCATGGGAATGATGGAGGTGGATGGCGACCAGTGGTCCGTCGTCATGGTGGCAGGGGAGTGTGGAGCAGCAGGGCAGACGCAGCCATATACTCTATAATATTTCAGAAGCTATGGGGACTAGAGGGTTATACAATATCTTCTCAAACTATGGGGTAGTCATGGATGCTTTTATTCCAAACAAGCAAAGAAAGATGACACGATCTCGTTTTGGCTTTGTACGTTATAATTGCTCTGTAGCAGCGGACATGGCAGTACAAAAAGCACATGGGCTTTGGTGTGATGACAGAGCATTGAAGGTCAAAATGGCGTAGTTTGAAAAGGTGTTTGGTCCGAAGCCCAGGTCGAAACAAGTACCGCAGACAAGAATGGCTACAAATGACAGTCTCATGGTTACTGCTGGATATCAAAGGACCAGGTCCTTTGCTGAGGTTGTGAAAGGAAGTGGTATCCAAACTGCTGCTATCCGAACTATTCCTGTTGTTGAGGAAGGAAATGGTTGGTTGTACGAAAGCGTAGTAGTAAGATTAAAACCATCCTTATCAGTAGTTGAGTTTAAGGAGGAAATAGTAAGGCAAGGCTTTGGGGATGTTAAGGTGAGACTGGGTGGGGGAAGAGATATGGTCCTAACCTTCACCTCAGTTGAAGATATGAATGTCAAATTTCAGGAAATGCAAGAGTGGCTTAACGCATGGTGTGCATCAGCTCAGGTATGGCGGCAGGGGCTGGTGCTCGAACAAGAACGGCATGTTTGGCTAAGTTGTTATGGAGTCCCACTAAATCTATGGAGTTTCTCTACATTTAGCAACATTGGCAAGATCTAGGGTGCAGTGGATGCTATAGATGATGATACTCTTCGGCTCAATTCCCTCCACTGTGGTAAAGTGAGGATAGCCACGTCTAGTGTGGATACTATTAATCACACCATTAATCTGGAGTGCAAAGGTACACTATACCCTGTGCGGGTGTGTGAGAAACAAATTATAGTCTCTACAACTTTGCAGGATCAATGTGTATGCCAATCCAATAAATGGAAGAATGGAGTGGGGTCATTTTCAGAGGCAAGTGCAGAGGCCCAGATCACGGACAAAAGTAGCAAGTTTGAGGAAGAAGATGATGATGTGAAGGTCCAGATGGACAAGCAGTCAGAACTACGGGGTGATGTGGAGGTCCAGCTGGGCAAGAAGTCAGATTTTCGGGGTGATGTGGCTGGAGTGGGTACTATTGTATCACCTATTCCTGCAGCTGAACTGGACGGGAGGATAGACTGAGAGATGTCTCAGGGGTAGCTGAAACCGATATGATGAAGGAAATGTCAACGGAAGGTGGCGCACGCGTAAATCAATTGGCAAAGGTAGGGATGAGCTGCGAGCAGTGTGATGATAGTGTCAGGCGTAGGGTAGATGGTGACGTATATACTCCTGGGTTCATTAGAAGTTTAAGTGGGTCGGGAAGTAATAGGCTGGGTATTCACCTTGAAGTGGCTCTTGATGGGGCCCATATGGAAGGTGGGTTGGTTGGGTCGGCCCAAAGAACTGAGGGGCTAGTTCAACTTGGTAAGTCCAACTTCCAAGACCCAATTACTTTTCCTGAAGGGCTTGATCAGTGTGTTAACCGTAATAATATTGGTCCAAAGAGTTCTTTAGCCCACATTGCAACAGCACCCGTCTGTCCAGCAAAGAAGGAAAAAATGAAAGGAAAGGCACTTCCAGCTTCAACAAAACAGTTTCAGAAGCAGCAAATGAAAAGGAAATTTGATGTTTCCACGGGGTTGGGGGCATCTTCATTGAATTTGAGGAAAGGAGCAGTGTTCAGGTCGGCGGTAGCGGCCATCTCACTTTCAATGGCAAGCGAAAATAGTAGTGGAAGAAGATTATTGACGGAGGCGGAAGCTTCAATTCAAATAGGCAAAGCCCTCGGCCTTGAGTGTGAAGGCAAAGAAGAGGAGGTGATTAGTAAATTACATGATCTTGAAGCTCAAGGCCAACTAAAAGCAAGGCCGGGTGAAGGGGATGCGAGTTAGATTAAAACGATCGGTTGGGTAGAGGGCTCTCATATGCTTATGAAGATACTATCATGGAATGTGAGGGGAATTGGAAGGCCTGAAAAGAGGAGACAAATAAAGAAGAGTCTTGCAGAGAGAAAAGTGGATATTGTGCTATTACAAGAAACTAAGAAGGCAATAGTTGATTCTACTTTGGTTAGGTCTATGTGGCCTGGGGATCAATTTGATTTCATGGCAGTAGATGCGATTGGTCAAGCTGGAGGGTTACTATGTATTTGGAACCCTGAGGTGTTTTTCCTGAAGGATTGCTGCAGTACCCAGAATTTCATCCTTTTATCAGGTACATTATTTTCCAGTTTTGATTGTGTAATTATTAATGTCTATGGTTCTAACGAGGTGGCTAAAAGAAAAGAGACTTGGGATGTGTTAGTGAGGTTGAAATCCAATTTCTTGGGGCCATGGTGTATGGGGGGTGACTTCAATGAAATAAAGAACATCTCCGAAAGAATAGGGTGTTCGAGAAAGGATCGTGGGATGAGGGACTTTAATAGGTACATTATTTTCCAGTTTTGATTGTGTAATTATTAACGTTTATGGTTCTAACGAGGTGGCTAAAAGAAAAGAGACTTGGGATGTGTTAGTGAGGTTGAAATCCAATTTCTTGGGGCCATGGTGTATGGGGGGTGACTTCAATGAAATAAAGATCATTTCCGAAAGAATAGGGTGTTCGAGAAGGGATCGTGGGATGAGGGACTTTAATAATATGATTGCACAACTCGAGCTGATAGACATTCCTATGTTAGGGAGGAAGTTTACTTGGTGCAATTCTCAAGTTAGGGAGAAATGGAGCAGAATTGATCGATTTCTTCTCAATTATGAGTGGGTGCAGAATTTTTCCTTCAAACTATGGGGGCTGCCTAGATTTTTGTCCGATCATTGCCCTATTATTTTGATGGAGGATGATAGAGATTGGGACCCTAAACCTTTTAGGTTCCTCAATGCCTGGCTTCTACATCCCAAATTTTTATCTTGTGTTCAACAAAGTTGGTCCGAATCTGTGGTGGATGGATGGGCAGGGTTCAAATGTCTTATGAAGTTTAAAGCACTGAAACAGGCCCTCAAACAGTGGAATGTTGCGGTGTTTGGTAAGATTGAATCAAAATTGAAAAGTGTAGAAGATGAGGCTCATGCTCTTGATTTGTTAGCTGAGGATCAACCACTACTTGATACAGAATTGTATAGAAGAAAGGAAGTGCGGGGTGAAGTGTGGAGGTTACGTAAAATGTTGGAGTGGATTTGGCTCCAAAAATCTCGAATGAATTGGGCATCTAAAGGGGATAAAAATACAAGGTTCTTCCATATTATGGCATGTAGCAGAAATAGTAGAAATTATTTGTGCTCAATTGCTGTAAATGGTTCAATGTTAGAGGAGCCTTTGGCAATTAGGGAGGCCGTTAAGATTCATTTTATGAAGCTTTTTTCAGAAAATTGGAAGGTCCGCCCCAAATTGTCTGGCCCTTTCAAGAACATAGGGGGTGCTTAAATTGTGGCCCAATTGGAGGCAGAGTTTACAGAGGAGGAGATTAAAAATGTTATCAAGTGTTGTGATGGTAATAAGGCACCTAGCCCTGATGGGTTTAATTTGTCATTTTTCAAAAAGTGTTGGAAAATTGTGAGGGTAGATGTGCTAAAATTTATAAGCGATTTTCATCAGAATGCAAAGCTCGTTTGTGGGCTAAATAGCTCGTTTATAGCTCTGGTCCCCAAAGTTTTAAGCCCTTCATGTTTGAATGACTATAGGCCTATTAGCTTGATTGGCTCCTTGTATAAAATTGTTGCTAAAGTGCTAGCGAACAGGATGAAGCAGGTTATGCCCAAGATTATTGGTGAAGCTCAGTCAGCTTTTTTGAGGGGAAGAAACATATTAGATGGTATATTGATAGCCAATGAAATAGTGGATGGTTGGAAAAGATCTAATAAAAAAGGCTTGGTGCTTAAATTGGATTTTGAAAAGGCTTATGACTCTATTAATTGGGAGTTCTTATTCGACATGTTAGCAAAATTTGGATTTGGAACGCGTTGGGTACAATGGATTAGAACTTGTGTTTCCTCAGCTAAGATATCAGTTTTGGTGAACGGGTCACCAGCATTTGAGTTTTGCCCACAAAGAGGCCTGAGGCAAGGAGACCCATTGTCACCTTTCCTATTCAACATTGTAGCAGAAGGTCTTAATATTTTGCTGAGCAGAGCTAGGCAGCTGGTCCTAATTCAAGGAGCTGTGGTGGGCTCTAGTGGGTTAAGAATCACGCACTTGCAATTTGTGGATGATACGATTTTGTTCTGTAATGCGGATAAAGAGGAGGTGGGCAACACTAAAAGAATTCTAAGATGCTTTGAGATTGTATCAGGTCTGAGAATTAATTATCACAAGAGTGTCATCTGTGGGATTGGGGTAGATGAGGGTTTGATGCAGGAGTTTGCTTCTTTCTTAAATTGTTGCCATCATAAATTGCCTCTAAAATACTTGGGGCTACCTTCGGGGGCTAATCCCAGCAGGAGGAGCACTTGGAAACCTATTCTTGATAAGTTCAAACAAAAATTGTCCACATGGAAGAGAAGGTTGTTATCTTTTGCTGGGCGCTTAACTCTTATTAAATCGGTTATGTCTAATCTGCCCATCTATTATCTCTCACTGTTTAGAATCCCTGCTGGAGTGGCAAAGGAAATTGAGAGAATGCAATCTGCATTTCTTTGGGGTGGATCCGATCTTAGAAGGAAAATACATATGGTCCGGTGGGAGGAGGTTTCTAAAGATAAGAAATTAGGTGGGTTAGGGTTGAGGAGGATAAAAATTTTCAATCAATGTCTCTTGTTGAAATGGTGGTGGAGATTTGGTGTAGAGAATAAATCCCTTTGGAAGGAAGTGATTTGCTCCAAGTATGTGTCATTGGATGGAAGATGGACACCACAGTTAATAGGCAGAGAATCCAAGATCTGGTCAGATATTATTCAAGCTGTAATGTCCAATCCAGAGCTGCACCACTTTTATATTTCTAATGCTTAGATTGTTCTGGGGGATGGGAGGAGAGTTCGATTTTGGAGAGACAAGTGGGTGGGTAATGTATGCCTATTGGAGGAATTCCCGAGGCTCTTTTCCTTATCTACTGATAAAAATGGTGTGGTAAGTGTGTTTTTCGAAAAAAGGGGAAGAGAATGGTGGCTGGAACATGGACTTCAGAAGACCTCTGTTGGTTTGGGAGGAGGAAGAAGCTAACAGACTTTTTCATTTGCTGAATTCTGCACCAATTCTGTGCAACTCCAGATCTGATGAGCTCATATGGGGTGCAGACCCATCTAATATTTTCTCTGTTTCCTCACTATATCTTTGGAGTGAATCACATCTGGGACCTATACTACTAGTGGCTGCCTCAATTTGGAATAATTTTGCTCCTCCAAAAGTTCAGTGTTTTGGGTGGATGGCTTGGCTGGGTAAGATTAAAACTTCGAGTTTCCTCCATAGAATTGGTATTCTAACAGGGAATGTAAATCTGGATTGTGTCTTCTGCCACAATGAGATCAAAACTGTGGAACATATTTTATTGTACTGTCCTTTCGTTTGGTTGCTTTGGTCCAACATTGTCCGATGGTGGGGTATGCAATGGGTGCTACCAGGTTCAGTGAATGGATTGTTGAATTGGTGGGAGGGTTGTAGAGTGAAGAAGTTGGAAAAGAAAATTTGGAAGGTTCTTCCACTGGCTGTCCTCTGGTCTACATGGAAGCATCGAAATGACTGCATCTTTAATGGCTCTCATCCAAACTTGGAAGACCTGTGTGAAATAGTGAAGGTTCGTGTAGCTATGTGGCTCAAAGCCTCACCAACTCAGGTAGAGCTTTCTTTTACTGACTTGGTCTTTAACCTGCCATAGGTGGAGTTCTGCATTAGAAATGGAGGTTGAGTGAAAAAGTGTTTGGTTGGTTGGCTGTTGGTATGATTGGTGGTCATGGTAGTTCAGAGCTGGCCAGGTCTCATGTTTTTGTGCATACATTGTAATTCTGTCTCTGGTTATAGGCTGCAGAGTTAGCTCTAAATAAATCTGGGTTGAACAGAAGTGTCCTACAGTCTAATATTGTAGGTACCCCTTTCTGAAGTGTTCAAGAATCTGCCTTGGTCTGCTGTTGTGTCCTACTGCCCAGCAGCAGTAGGTTGGAGCTTCTGGCCTCCAGGGGGCTGGCTGTGTGACTCTGTTTAACAGTATTGCAGTGCTGTGAGGTTATGTCCATCCTCTGCTGGTTAGCTGATATGGTTTGCTGATGGAAGCAAGGAAGAAGAGATCATTCTCTACTGATTGGTAGCAGTGCGATTGGTAGCAGATGGGTTTGAAGCAGATTGGTATGTATGCAGATTGGGTGCAGAGTGGTATGTATCAGCTAGATTCTGGTCTGTGAAGGCAGTGCAGAGGCCTACTGAGTGTCATATGCTCTCTATTAGCAAAGGAGTTTTGTGGGCTTGGGTGTAAGGTGGTCCTGCGTTAGCATAGGAGCTTTTGTGTGCTTGGAGGAATGGTGGCTGATTGGTAGTTTTTCCATCCTCTGCTGGTAGCTGCTACAAGAATAATGGTGTATTGGGCTTATGGTTTGATGTCTTGCTGATCTCCTTGCCTGACTGATGGTTTGCTTCTTGTTAGTGTGTGTGGTCTGCTGTCTGGATGCTCCAGCAGAGGGCTTTATTGTTGGTTTTATTTTGCTCTTTGGCTGGTTCTAGTACTTCTATCTGTTGGATTTGGCATGTCTTAGGCTTGGTTGTATTTTTGGTTTGGGTTTGCTGTTTGTGGTTGGTTTCTCACCAACTCACCATCTTTTGGCGGTGTGCTAGCATATGATTGGGCGATCTCAACAGTGCCAACCTAGTTGGGATTGTTTTGTTTCGCTATGATGCTCTTTGCACTCCCCTTCCCCTTCTTCTTTATTGATGTATTTTTTTATTCGGTTTTCATCAATAAAGTTCCTTTTTCTTCGCTGATCAAAAAAAACTTAACTTTCGGCGTATTTGTTCATGTTAACTAGAAGCCATGTATACATACAATACAACATGGTTCACTCCTCCTACAGATTGTGAGTTGAACATTTTATAATAAGTTCTAATAATGGCTTCTCAAATAAGGAGAAGAGAGTCTCTGTTTGGTTTTACTAATTAATAAATGTCATATCGTTCAACTACTTTGATTCTGCTAATTTTTACTCTACTTTCTTTACATTAATTATGGTTTCAAAGAAGTTGTCACAAAATTAGACTAGTAACGTTTTCTTTTTTTGGTACAACGGAAAAGGAAATACAACTACAAAATAGAAAAAAAGAAAAAGAAAAGCTAAGAGCCCCCAGAACAAGGTCTGAGATAACTCTGACCAACCATATCCGCCACTAGTTGACCTCGAATTTCTTTTGGAGGGTCATCCATAACAACCAACATCTCATTTTGATTAGCCCCCATTTTTGCAAGACCATCAGCACTCTTGTTGCCCTCCCTTTTGACATGTTGAATCGAAAACCCATATCTTAGATGAGAAACTTGGAATCCTCCACTAGACTTCTTAATGGGGAAGTAACCTTAATGTTCCCCTTTAGCATATCAATAGCATATTGGGAGTCTGTTTCGATGCTAAGATCCTTATAGCCTTTCTCGAAAGCTATCGTCAAACCCCTTTATAGTGCCCAGATCTCCGCATCAATGTAGGTGCAATTTGTATGCTTACCGAAATACCCACAAAGCCAAATGCCTTTCTCATCCCGGATTAGCCCCCCAAAGCCACCATTGCCTGGATCTCCCTTTGAGCTTCCATCCGTGTTCATCTTCAATTTACCTGGAAGAGGAAGAGACCAACTAGTTAGCTCATCATCCAAACTGTTCACAATAGATATATTAAAAGCATCTTTAATATCAGTTGCATATCTATGTATGATGTAGATACTATGCTGCCAAGGCAATTCAACATTCTCAAAAATCTTAAGGTTCTTATTTTTCCAAATTTGCCATAATGAAGTAACAAAACAAGTAGGCTCAATAAAAGGATGAGACTTAGACTTTAAAGTGGACTCCACCCAAATTTTAAATGACAAATTCCTGTAATTAAACAACCAAGTACCACAATTCAAACAAATTCAAATAGTTCTTGCTTTGGGACAATTTCTGAACATATGATTCGAGTCTTCAACCTGGTCACCACAATTATTACATAAAGCCGAATTTGACATTCCTCTAGTAACTCTTAGGCTGTTGGTTAGCAACTTCTGGTGCAGTGCCAGCAAAACAAAGCCTTTGAGAATTTGTGGGATTTTCAATTTCCATAACCAGAGCCAATTCCCAGAATCAACTCCCTTATCAGTCACCAACTCAAAAGCCGATGCAGTAGTGAAAGCACCACATCTCGAGCCCTTCCAATGTGGCATATCTGGATAAGTTACAAACCTAGGAAGCTGAACCTTCAAAACAAGATCCCAAGCTTCCCTAGGCAACTTAACAGATATAACACCCACATCCCACCTACCCTCCTCATCCAAGAGAGTATCCACTTTTTCTGAGCTAATGAGGTGAGAAATAGGAAATAAGGAGGCCAAACTGCACTCCCCACACCACCAATCATACCATATGGATACATTAGAACCATTGCCAATACACCATTTCCTACCCTTGACGAGAATGTCACGGGTTTTAAGAATACCCCTCCAAGTGAGAGAAGCTTTTCTCTTACTAGAATAGTTGAGTAGGGAGTCCCTGTAAATACAGGTATTTATTTTGGAGAACTTTAGCCCATAAACAGGACTTCCCATTAAGGAGTTTCCAACCCAATTTAGAGGGTAAAGCAATGTTACTATCCTTGGCCTTACGAATGCCAAGCCCACCAGATTTCTTACTGTTGCACACCGTATCCCAATTCACTAAATGAATCTTTTTGGAGGTGCCCACATCACCCCATAAAAAATTCCTGTTCAATTTATCCATGTCCTTACAAACTTTCACAGGTAAGTCCATAGATTGCATCATATACGCCGGGAGGGTAGAGGTAACCGAATTAATGAGGGTGCCCTTCTTGCAATAAATAACATATTCGCTCTCCAACCAGTCAACTTGTTCTGGAGTTTCTCAAAAATGGAAGCAAAGTGTGCTCTGCTCACTCTGTTATGAAGCAGTGGTATACCAAGGTATTTAACCAAATCATGGGTGAGGGGTACATCAAACTCCTAACCTTAGACGTAGGCACATTTGGAGAAATGAACAACTTTGATTTAGCGATGTTAATTTTCAAACCCGAGCAGTTGCTAAATTGATTCAAAACAGCCATGATGGTATCACAATTCCTAGAGTCAGCCTTGGCAAAGAGGAGAAGATCATCTGCAAAAAATAAATGTGAAATAGCAGGTCCCCTAGCAGAAGCCTTAGTACCCTTCCAATCCCCACTACTAACTTTTAAAGTGATCAAATTAGACAACCTTTCCATACAAAGAACAAAAAGATAAGGAGATAAAGAGTCTCCTTGACGGAGTCACTTCTTGAGATTAAGCGCCCAGGCTGTTTCCCCGTTCCATAACACAGAGGAATTGACCTTAGTAACACAATTCATGATAAGCTCAATCCAATGAGGATTCAGATTAAAGTCAACCAAGGTATCATGAGGAATGGACCAAGAGACATTATCGTAAGCTTTTTCAAGATCAATTTTGAAAATCATATCACCTTGTTTACCTTTTTTGAATCTAAGAGTGTGGATGATCTCTTGGGCAATGATGATATTATCATTGGTAGTCTGGGATAAATTCATTAGAGGTGCCTAATATGATCTCACATTCAATTTAACATCAGAAAGTTGAATTTCAGAACATAAAACTTTGACCTTGTACACTAGTTCTTCAACAACATAGAACCATACGTTGAAGTGGAGCAAGTGTGGTGCTCTGTAAATGCTTATTAGTCTTTATTTCTTAGTAATTTCGTATGCCGCCCATTTGAATGGGAGCATACCAATTTATAGCTCAGTTCTCTCTTCTGAAAGATGATCAAGCATAACGAAAATAAAAGAATTAGTTTAACTTGTTTTGTTCAAACTCTTGACAATCATATAAAGTTTCTTACCTGTCCTCCACCCTTTTTCCTTTTGCAAGCTTTTCAAATTGTTGTTGGAGACTTATGCATCTGGTTCTTTGTCTTCATGAGATTGCCCTAGTAGACACTCAAGGCTTAGAAAGGAGAAGGAAAAGATAAGTAGTAGGAAAAAATCGAACCAAAATTTTCTAAGGAAAAAATCCTTTAACCTAATGAGGCAGTATGGGAGCAGAGGTGCCTCAACTAGTAGAGCACTGCCCAGGGCTGCAATATGGTAGGCAACAGTCGCGGCAATGTCCTTATTAGCATCAATAGTGGGTGGAGTTGATAAAGGAAGAGTTGTCCTGAATGAAGCCGAAGCAACTCTAAAAATGAGGGAAGTTCTCGGAGTGCAGTTCAATGGCAAGCGAGCTGAAGTGTTGGAGAAAATTGTGGACCTTGAATTGAAGGACAAGGAACAAATTGAAGGAGGGGGGTGAGAGGTGGGGTCTGAAAGACACCAGCTGGGGGGATGTATAAGAGTAATCGTGGTTATTTATGAAGATCCTTTCATGGAATGTTAGAGGGTTGGGGAGGATGGAGAAGAAAGGCAAGGTTAATAAGCTCCTAAGGGAGAGGAATGTAGATATTGTGTTGTTCCAAGAAACAAAAAAGTCAGAATTAACAGAGGATGAAGTTAGATTTGTGTGGGTCAAAGGTAAAATGGAGTTTATAGTGGTGGATGTTGTAGGCTCTGCTGGGGGATTACTGTGCATATGGGACCCGGATGTCTTCCAAGTAAAAGAATGCTGTAGCAATAGAAGATTTATTTTATTATCAGGTACCCTCTTTAACCAATTTAATTGTGCTATTCTAAATATTTATGCTCCTAATGATGTGGGCTCAAGAGGGAATTTGTGGAACTATCTATTGAAATTGAATGAGGAATTCCATAATCCCTGGTGCTTAGGAGGAGATTTCAATGAGATTAGGCAGATTGGAGATAGGAGAGGGTGCTCTAGGAGAGATAGAGGCAGGAAAGAACTTAATGAGTTTATTGATAAGTGTAAGGTATCTGATTTACCACTACTTGGGAGGAGATTCACTTGGTGCAATTGTTTTGGTGGGGAAAAGTGGAGCAAAATAGATCGAATTTTAGAAGATCCCAAATGGCTTGAGATGTTTAACCTTAAGCTCTAGGGTTTGCCCAGACTGGTCTCTGATCACTGCCCTCTTCTTATGATGAAGGATGAGAGGGACTGGGGTCCAAAGCCCTTTAGGGTTCTGAATGCTTGGTTTTTGCACAAAAATTTTAAGAGTTTCTAGTAGTCAAAGTGGAAGGAGTCCAGTGTTCAAGGTTGGGCTGGATTTATTCTTATTCAGCAGTTGAAGATCTTGAAAAGTGGCCTTTAAATTTGGAATGTGGAGGTTTTTGGCAATGTTGTAAACAAATTGAATACTGTAAAGGGTGAACTTTACAGATTTGATCTTCTGGCTGAGGTTAGAGACTTTGATGGTGAGGAAAAAGTGAGGAGAAGTGAAGCTAGAGCTGAAATGTGGAGATTGGGTAGCATGGTGGAATGGCTATGGCTGCAAAAGTCTAGGCTTAACTAGGCGATGAAAGGAGATAGGAATACAAGATTTTTTCATGTAGTAACAAAGTGCAGAACAATAAGAAATGAAATAAATTCTATTACAGAAGGGGATGTGGTGTTTGAAAAGCCGAGGCAAGTGAAGAACAAGGTGTTTGAATACTTTAAAAACCAGTATACAAAGCTCTGGCCAGTAAGACCTGAGTTGGGGGGTCATTTTCTATCACTAGAAGGTAGAGTGAGGTTTGATCTGCTAGAAACAGAATTTACAGAAGTACAGATCAAATTAGCAGTGATGGAGAGTGATGGGAATAAAGCACCTGGACCTGACGGCTTTAATTTGTTGTGATTTCAGAAGTTTTGGAAGGTCATGAAGGGTGAGGTCATTAATTTTGTGAACGAATTTCATAGGAATGGTAGATTGGTAAAAGGCATAAACACTTCTTTCATAACCCTCATTCCTAAGAGGGACGATCCATCTGGGCTATTTGACTATAGACCTATAAGTTTGGTGGGCTCAATTTACAAAATCATAGCTAAACTTTTGGCAAATAAACTAAAATATGTTATGCCACATATTATTAGTGAGCCTCAGTCTGCATTCCTAAGTGGAAGAAATATTCTAGATTGAGTGCTTATTCCTAATGAGGTTGTTGAGGGCTAGAAGAAAGCCAAGAAGAAGGAAGTACTTATCCAATTTGATTTTGAAAAGGCATATGATTCCATTAATTGGGGCTTTCTCTTCTCTATGTTTTATAAGTTTGGGTTTGGTGCTAAGTGGATCAATTGGATGAAGGAGTGTGTAACAACGGCAAGAGTGTCAGTGCTCGTCAACAGATCTCCTACTGAAGAGTTTAGCCCTCAAAGGAGTCTAAGACAAGGTGATCCACTATCTCCTTTTCTATTTAATTTAGTAGCAAAAGGCTTACATCTATTGTTAAGCAGAGCTAGTGACCTAATTAAAGGGGTGAAGATAGGCCGTGAGGTAGTGTTGTTAACTCATTTACAGTTTGCAGACGATTCACTTTTGTTTTGTGAAGCTGAGGTGGAGGAGGTGAGAAAGTTGAAGAGGGTGCTAAGATGTTTTGAAATCTTGTCTGGCCTGAAAATAAACTTTCACAAGAGCGTTGTATGTGGTGTGGGTGTCTCTATGGAAATAATGAATGATATGGCTACAATTTTGAATTGCAAAATTAAAGCATTGCCACTCAGTTATCTAGGGCTGCCATTAGGTGCTAATCCAAGAAAGAAGGCCACTTGGAAACCAGTTGTGGACAAAGTTAAAAGTAAGTTGGCTGGATAGAAGAGGAAGATGTTGTCTTTTGCGGGGAGGCTCATATTGATTAAAGCAGTAGCTTCAGCCTTGCCAGTGTATTACTTATCATTGTTCAAGATGCCTGAAGGGGTTACTTCATAATTGGACAAGATTCAAGCTACTTTCTTATGGGGTGGTTCTGAACAGGGAAGGAAAATCTATATGATCAAATGGGAGGATTTGTCTAAAAGAATGGATTAAGGTGGTTTGGGCATTAGGAAGTTGAGGGATGTAAATAAGTGTTTGCCAATCAAATGGTGGTGGAGGTTTGGTAGTGAAAAGGATGCTTTATGGAAAAGAGTTATATGCAGCAAATATAAGATGAAGGTGAGTGGCTAGATACCATCACTCACACCATCCAATAGTTACTCAGCAGTTTGGAAGGGGATCAGCTCTGTTGCTGATCAGTGTAATAGCCTAAAGGAGTTCAATTTGAATAACTTCCATTTGAAGGTAGGGGATGGGGTGAGGATCAGATTTTGGTCTAATATATGGTGTCAATCTGCCTGCTTGAAGGATGAATTCCCAATCTCTGTTTAGGTTGTCTATGGAAAAATAGGAGTCTTTGAGTGTTATGGTTAATAAGAAAACCATAGCAGATGGCTGGTTCCTAGCTTTTAGAAGGGAGTTGTATGAATGGGAGAAACTGGAGCTGGATAGGCTAGTTAATCTACTGCTGGTGTAGACACCCCATTTTTGACCGACCTTAAGACTCAGACGTCACTAATTGAGCGCTCGGTGATATTGCATTAACCGGCCAGTAATCCAAGATTACCACAGGCCTTCCTGTACAAAACGTAAATAATCGGGGCTAGCGGAAGCAAAGACAAAATGCCATAAGTCC